AAGAGACAGATCAAACACAAGAAAAGGATAACTAGGCAGAACTGCTCTGGCAATCCTTAATAAGATACAACACCCACCTTACTCTGCTAGCATATATGCCTCAGGAACTCTTAGGAACCTACCACTTGCTGTAATGACAGTATTGTATCTGTTTTATTGAACATATTCCACATGTGTTTTAGCTGGACTGCCACTACGGAGGAAGAAAATGCAGCTGCGTTTATGTTACCCATCTGCGCTTTGCTCACAACACATTCAAACTACTGATATGATTATTTTTAATTTTTTTAGTATGCCTTTAGCACAGTCTTTTGCTGTCAGGTTTGATACTGGCACATAACTGGATTCCTTAAACTATATTCAGAATCCATACTGGTTGAAAAACTGGCATAATCATGTAACAACCCATGTACTTAAAGCCACAATGTCTGATTTTTTATTTTTTTTTTTTAGAACAAAACACTAATCTGAATTGTAGTTTGAGCAACTGAGTAGTATAAGGCTAGAGGATACAAAGACTTAAGATAAAGTAGCTGTATTTTGATGTGTCAAGGTACTGCTTACATCTAGTCACAGGACCCTCTCACAAGGGATGCGATAGAGAACATGAGGCTATTATCTGCTTTATCCCTCTCAAGACACTCAAAAAGTGCTTTTAGAAGGTAAAAGTACGACAGATACCAAGAGATCTCATACCTCTATGAAAATGAACTCGGGTAGCTACTATAGTTACACCCAACTATCGCACCATGTCACACGAACCACAGGTTTTGTTGCTTCTTTTTAATCTCTCTGATTGCTAGAATATGTGGAGAAGTTTGACCAAGTTCAGATGCACCACCTCAAATAGTAACTTGGTTGAGGTATCGTAGATTCAGCCTAACAACAGCCTAACCACACATTCTGTTACACCAACAAACAAATGCTGATATATCAACAGTATAATCCACTGCAACATACATTGCACTATTGGCACAACCCAGTCTAGTGTAAGGATAGGTGAATTTTACAAGGCCATGTGGATTAAAACAATCTGATTATAGGAAGGGCATAAACAACAATACCACAAATTTATAGTCATTTGGGTCCAGTCCAAAGCTTGCAAACCATAATGGAAAAAACAAGCCCCATATGTAACATAGAAGAGAAAAAAAAGTGCTGGCAACACTTACCCTTATGGTCTGGCTACAACCACTCAAGAAAAATATCTACTGTTGTGTCTTAATCATCATTGCATAGGTTCCCCGTTACCTAATTTAAGATATTTACAACACTTTTCTTCAGAACAATGTTTTTTAGGATATCACTGTGAAGAGACAAGATGTCACTCAGCCAAATAAATTAAAAAACCCTTCATTTTTCAGAAAATAGTGCCAAACTCACTGGCACAGTTAGATATGAGTAATCCCGTCACAAAAGGAAAGTCCCGCCATGCAGTTTTATAGGAGGCAGGCTGTCTGTTTTGAGACCCCTGTTGCCCCATGCCATCCTCTTCGGACCCCTGAGACCCACAAAGTGACGCACTAACAATTACTGTCAACAGCAGGGGATTTCTGTCTTCAGCCTAAAAGCCAACAGGAAGCTCTTGTACCTCAACATGGCATAGGAAACTACTTTTGGATAAGGTGGGTATTTGGGAAGTCAAAAGCATTAAGAAGAACAGGACAAAGTTCTGCTTTACCTATCAGTAAGTCACAAATTTATTTGCTCAAACTCACATCAGGTCAAGCCAGATGCCTGCTCTCCTTGTTGAGGACAAATTCCTTTAAAGTTTAGCTTCTATCTGAGGTATGCCATAAGTATTTCCTTTACCATACTTGTCCTTGCTCATCAGTACTACCATTGTTTGCTGCTAGTTCCTTCCATGCATCATAACTGAAATGGGGCAATAAAGTTTCCCATAGCCAGAATAACATAGCAGGCTTCTATACTCAAGGGAACAAAATATCCTATTCCAGTTAAAAGTAAAAAGGTAAGGTTCATTCAAACAAGCAAACTCTATAAAGCCTTCTTAATGCTAAAGCTTTAAGAAAATATAAATAAGAGTATCAGATATTAGGCCAAATTAGTAGACAAAATAATAAAAAAATAAACCATATGTACAAAAGGTACCAAAACAAAAATAGACCTTCTAGTTTACTTGAAAAAAACTTAAAGAACTAACACTACAATAATCCACTCCTACTCTGAACAAAGCAGTCACCTCAATCCCACAAGACTCTCTCAAGCCCTATGATCCTAAAGGGTACCATACCCAGACACAGATTTTATCACTTTCCCTGCCTGCCTTGGCAAATCCGAAACAGCTGAGATGGTAGGCTTGGTTTCTACTTAAAGCCCTTCTCACCTTTGCATCTCCTAAAATACAGCTAACAAGGATTTGGCTTGCATTACTGGGGCTCTGGTGGCTTTCCTCATAGTGCTGTTGCTAATCTGTGCGCCAAAAGGTATCTAAAATAATAAAATATTAATTTTTTTATTAGCACATAGGACAGTTAATAAAGTAACTTAGCAAATAACTTTTATTATAAAGTAATACATCACAAAACAAATTCTAATAAAGAAAATGCATATATATCATTAAGTATCTCTACTGTGTTTTGATGATGTGTACTCTTCTGTTTTACTGATGTCTTTCATGTGTCAGATCTTAGTTTATATAGTACGCTGTCTGTATTCAAGCACTGGTTTTATATTAGAAAAATTCATGACAACAATGACTTACTGTTTGTATGTATTAACAGAATAGTTCAGTAGAAAGTGACCTATAAGATTGCACTTAAAAGATATGGCTATGTTGAAACTCATTTCTAGAAATATTCTAGAACTTTTTAAAAAACTTCTAGTCTCTAAAATGTGAGTATTCTCTCTTTTTGGAGTAAGCACTCAATATGAGCCCATGCTCTTACTCCACTGCAAGGAACCAATTCTTTTTCCTCTAGTAAGCATCATAAATTCAATCTTCAGCGAGTTGGTGTATCTTTCTCATTCTAGACACGATGCGTCTGTGTGGAGCTTGCCTAACGCATCACGTGGAACCCACAAAACAAGGCAAACAGGAGGTAAATTTATCTCTCTTATTTAGTACCTGTAACATGTATGGAATGCTGGGACATTAAGCTACCTGCTCCTCCACGACCCTCTTCCCTCCTCTCCCCGGTATAAAGGCCTCGCCCCGTAACGGCCCCATGACGG